AAATTTGCGGTAGTAACCGGAAAGGCCCAAGAATTGCCTTAGCTGTTTGACATTGATGGGAAGAGGCCACTGTTGCACTTGCTTGATTTTATCAGGTTCTGTGGAAACCCCTTGTTCACTGATGACAAATCCCAGATAGGAGAGTTCTCTTTGAGCGAAAAAGCATTTGGAAGCTTTGATCTGCCATTGGTCATTGCGCAAGAGTTGTAAGACTTCTCGAAGATGCTTGACATGGTCAGTAAAGGTCTTGGAGAAGACGAGAATGTCGTCGAAAAACACCAGAACGCAGATACGCGATACCGGTTTCAGTGTGTGATTCATAGCTCCTTGAAAGGTTGCTGGCCCCCTGCCACTCCAAATGGCAAGACCTTGAACTCGTAGTGACCGGAGTGAGTTTGAAAAGCAGTCTTGAATTCTTCTCCTTCTGCCAATCTGATTTGATGGTAACCGGAACAGAGATCTAACTTCGAAAACCAGCTAGCTCCTGATAGTTCATCGAGTAATTCATCAATGACTGGAATAGGGAATTTTGGAGTGACGGTCAGCGCATTTAACTTGCGATAGTCAATGCACAAACGCCATTGGCCGTCTTTCTTGCGCACCAGAATTGCCGGAGAAGCAAAGGGACTATTGGAGTGTTGGATGATGCCCGAAGCTAGCAACTCTTCGACTTGACGCTCAATTTCATTTTTGGTATCTGGTGAGTGCCGATACGGACGGATATTGATTGGTTGAGCCCCTGGAAGGAGTGGGATCCGGTGGTCGCAAACTCTGCGAGGTGGAAGGCCCTGGGGGGTGGCAAACACATCAGAAAACTCTTCTAAAATGTGCTGAATTTCAACTGGCACTGATGATGTATCAGCAAGCTGTTGTGCTTGTTTGTGCTGATCAGGAGTAGCACAGAGGTACACAAGATGATCCACTTCGCCCTGGACACACATGTGCTGCAGTTCTTCAGCAGATATTTGAGGGCATTTGTTTTCAGAGAATTTGTGCCCTTGTAACTGAATCGGGGTAGACGCCGAGGGAATTGTCACCGTTTTGTTGATCCAATCAATGTGTGGATTCAAAGCTTCCAGCCAGTCCATTCCCACAATCACATCAAAACCTCCCAAAGGCAACACTTTAAAAGAGGTGGCAAACTGATGCCCTTGTACTGTCCACTGACATTCAGTTAATTCTTGCTCACACCGCAGCTCTGCTCCGTTTGCAACCTTCACACGAGCTGCTTTGGGCAATTGTTGTAATCCCAGCAAGCCCTCGGCACAACGTGAGTTGATGAAGGACGCTGAGCTGCCCGAGTCAATCAACACTTCCACAGCTTGATCCTGGATCAATGCGCTGAACTGCAGTAGTTTGGAAGAGTCATTCCCGTTGAATGCTTGCAAAGATACTGCATAAATTGTTTCTTCAGTGGAATCTGGACCAACACTCGTCTCTCCGTCTGTGTTTTGTTCAATCCCCATGAAATCCATTAATTCCTCCAACACATGCATCTGGATTGTGGTTGGACAAGTGTGGTCACGCCCCCAACGCTCGCCACACTTGAAGCATAATCCCCTGGCTCTTCTGTATGCACGAAGAGTGTTCCGCGGGTTTGTTTCTTGTGGTGCTTGCCTTGGTTGTTCAACCGGTGCTGCACGGGCCGCTTCGAGGCCGCGGCGATCCGCTGCGACTGGTGTTGTAGGAGGACGAGGTTGGTGGAGGGGCACTGCCTGAGGAGGTAGGCGAGGCGATGGCCGGAAAACTTGTTCAGGGGGACGAAACTGCTCCGGCCTTCCCCCGTCATGCGCTTCCTCCTGGACCAATGCAAGGGCGCAGGCCGTGTCCAAGTCTGGAGGCCGCTGCACCATGATCGCAGCGCGCAAGTCCGCCCTCAGGCCGCCGATGAACCGTGTCAAAAAGTAGAAAGGATGAACCTCGTCAGAATAAGATAATAACTGGTTCATCAAATGTTCAAAGCGATCAATGTAATCCTGTACTGAACTATGCTGTTTAATGGCAAAAAATTG